TTTCTTTAACAGATTTAACTTCATAGCTAAAAAGATCCAAAAAAGATTAGTCCAACTGGGAGGTACATCATTGATCTCTTTGGGTTTGGCTGATGACCAGCATGAACTAGGGTAAGACGTCATCATCATCATCATCATCAATCTTCATCTACGTGCCTAGTGGTATATAGGGCCTTGATAGAGTTTCTCCATTCCACTCTGTYAGCCTCCTTTGTCCGCTCCTCCTCCTACGTCCTCCATGTAAAATATCATGCATGATTATCAGTACAGTGACATCATTTTATATAAGACAGATATAAGAATGACATCTTTTTAGTATAATCCCCAGAAATTCATTCTGTACTTTCTTAACATTGAGGTTCTTATATGTAAGGAAAATGACAATAGTTTTTTACTGATAGTTGTAAGAAAGTACAAGGCTAGGACAACACTTTGTTCTCCACATTACCTATTGTAAGTTATAACTCTAATGAAGGTCACCGGTTGAGATCAGAATGTGATTGGTCAATAAAACAATGACAAACAATAAATGCTCCTCCAAACAATAAAACAAAACCTAACCTAACAATAGAAATTCAGTTCTAAGGCCAGGTCTGGGTTGTTCAAAGGTTTTCTAAGAATTAACCCAKGATTGGCACTAATCAGGCTTTGAACAAATCAGCCCAGAGCAATAGCACAAGTTTTTATGGGTTTGGGAATAGTGGATTATCAAACTCAGAATCAYCCTGTGTTGGTTCCTTGAACAGTGCTGATGCTGTTATTGATCCTTGGTTAAAAGAGTTATGGCAGAATGTCCTACAAATCTACCCACTACCACTGGGAAAGGAGATTATTAGTGATGCAATAAGGTAAGTGTTGCTTTTTCATGCCWTAAATCTCTTATATGGTACTTGAGTGATGCTATTCCCTAAGGTARCCTGGGTACCAGAGTATTAACTCTTTCTGTAGTTCTCAGTTCACAGCAATTTGTGCAAAGTAAAAACTATAAGAAAGAATCATTTCCATCTTGTACCTAGGGTATCTGTATGATGAGATAGAGATGAATTAGCCTGAGTATCAAGCTCTCTCGAATACATCAAAACCCTCCCCAATAGATTGCAAAGGATTCAAAAWTTGATCTTTTTGTTTTGTTTAAATACTAAGTTTTGCTTCCTCGCTCACGCATTGTAATTTCATTTTGCCCCAGTGATGGCAAGTTGTCCAAAAGCTTGGAAATTAAAAACTCACATAGAAGAAGCAAAACTTAGTATTTAAACAATGAATCCTACGTACGATAACATTTTTTAAAACATTAATTTTAAAACATTGATCTTTTTTGTTTGTTTGTTTTATTGCCTCTTCAGACCTCCTTCAAGGTACAGAGTTTCATTTGTTGAAAGTGAATTTAATGTTTCTCTACAAGACGACAATTCAAAAGGTAAACAATATTATGCGAGAAACGTTTTTATGACAGTATTGATCACAGGGTTTTCTAACAGAAAGGGCCATCATAATTCTGGTTTCTTTGTAGTTCCACAACATGTCGATAAACATCATCCATTCCATGCAAAATTGATATCCAATGAGCGAGTGACAGCTACAGATCACTGGCAAGATGTACGTCTTGTTCGTCTTGATACAACTAACTCCAATATCATGTATGTAGTTTTTCTTTCATTTAGTTTTCTGTAAAGAAAAGAAAAATGATAGAAAATGAATTGGAAAGTGATAAAGTACACTTAGAAATGATTGTAGACTAAGCTTCATTAAAAAGTTGCGTTTTAAACTCATTTACTTAAAGAAATGGAGTCAAAATCTCAAAGATCAATAGGTTTAGAATTGATTATCTTTTTGTCTGATTTTGATGCCATGTCTGTGGATATTACTTCATTATTATTGCAATAATCATATAGAATGATTTCAAGTTAAGTTTGAAATCATTTTCAAGTTTTACTGATTGTGTTTATATTAAAACTGYMCATGAGATACTTCAGTCCAGCTGTGGCAAATTAATTTATTTTCAACGATATCAACACGAGAYCTAATAGCCGGTAACGTTTCTTCAGAAATCAKTCAGGATCATGGATCAAAATATTTCTTATTTTAGGGTTGCAAGCACATCCATCATGCCTTACCGCTGTGGAGTCAGTGTTGAATTACATTTAAAATGAATAAATAAACGRATGAATACAATGAATGAATGAGATATAGATATACTGAGGTTATTAGATGGGTGTGCGTAGATACGGATTTTATCTTCAAGTGTTGAAAAGATCTCACGATTAAGCGTAGCGATTTTCAACAAGAAACGATAAAATTCGTATCTCCAAGCGACCATATAATATTCTGTTTATCATTGAATTGTATATAAAGTAAATTCTGTCTTAAAATACCTTTTTTTCTTACTTCCACTATATAGAAAAAACCTCGAATGTGTTATTTTCACTAATGAAGATAAAACCTTTACGTAGTGGAGAAATTATTTTACTATTTTATAGATATAATTATATGATAATGCTGTTGTCTTACAGCTGTTTGCAATAATTCTGACCCCCTCTGCCATATTTCATATATATCAAACTGACCTTAAATATTATGGGATATCATGACTGATATATTTTTTGAGTTGTCCAGAATGAGTACTTTCTAAAAAAAATATCAGTAATGGTATCCCATAATTTCTAAGGCTATTTTGATATATATGAATATTAGTGTAGGGGGGGGTCAGAATTATTGCAAACAGCTGTATACACAGTGTTTGTACTTATTTTAGATATAGTCCTGGTGATGTTGTTATGATTCAGCCAAGCAATTTACAAGAAAATGTCGAAGAATTCATTAATTACTTAAAACTGGATCCAAACAGGGTATTCTCGCTAGAGCAGAACGACCCAGGTAAGGAAATTAGCCGTATAGCTTACAAAACAGCTTAATTTAAATGAAAATGCAAATCATTTAAATTTTTACTTCAGTCATTTCAAAAAGTTTTTCGGAAATGAAAAGTCCTGAAAAAAAAGGGAAAAGTCCTGGAACTTTAATTTCGTTGTTTAAAAAAACTGTCTTATTCAATTAAATAAAAAAGTAACGATTCAAATGAATATTATATTTGTTTTTTTATTATTATT